TTACCTCTTTTTAAAAACAATTTTCATTCTATAAAGGTAATCTAAAGTTACAATTTTGTAAGAAAAAAAAATTCTCTTTTTTCTCAGATGTTCTCATGCACAATAGAATATTGTTTAATTTGGTTGAGACATTTGTAGAATGAGTTTTAAAATTATCATCAGATTAGAAATGTGTCTTAGAAGTGACTTAAACATACACGCTTTGAATTTCTGTGAATTAGATGCAAAAAGAGGACGTCTGAAAAGATTGAGTTTTCACCTGAGAACAAACAGCTTCTAAACCCATGAAAAGCATAAAATTCAATAGGACAATCGATTAAATGTTTGACCTAAAAGAATTTGAGTGTGACTATTTATACAAAACATAATTGTGTTGTATTCACAGTAGTTCTAATATACCATTTCCCCACTTGGGTTTGAAAAGAGCAATTCATTCTCCGGATTTATTCTGAAATACATATTTTTAATTGGACAACAAGGAGTCATATGAAGCTCTCACTCTCATTTCATCATTTCGTAGAAAGGAAAATGGGTTTCTTACTTAATATAAAGAGGAGGATAGACCCGTATCTCCTAATTCCAAGTGCTCTTTGCCTTTCTCTAGACATGATTTCTCTTTTTATATACTTTGATTTTTCTATCCTCTTCCTCATCTCCCTCCAGGCCCCAAGAGCCATAACAACCCTTTCCTCCTTCTGAAGATAATGAGGGTAAGAGTAATTCCTTGTTCCTAGGACTTTTTTTTTNTGTGGGTGTGAGACCCCACAGGAAAGATGAGAGGGAGTCTATTAAAGAATTTACAGTGTTTATAATTTGAGTAAGCACTGCTTCCAGGGTTGATTATTTAATTACTGAATTGCCATTTCTTGGCCTACTTTGTACAGATAATTACTTTCTCAGGGTTGCCACACTTAATGGGAAATAGGAAGACAAAAAGTTGAATCGTCTTTGCTGAGAGACGCTTAGTTAATATTTCTCCATCTGTTTTAAACTTAGTAGGGGTCAGCTTCCCTAATTAAAGGTAGTGTACATGTCAAATTATGCAGTCATCCCTTTGGAATGGCTGGGACCATTTTTTTTTTAAGACACGTCTTCCTTAGGAAATAAATCAAGACAATCAAGAGCACCAGGTAGTAAAGAGGGGAGCAGGTGAGGTTATGTGTGAGACAGGACTGCGTTTGAATCCCTTCTCTAACTGTCCACAGTACAGAGGACACGTGCCTTCACTGAGCCTCAGTTTACTCAGCTAATAATGGCGATCACGTCCACTCTGCACTGGGCTGGGGTTTTATGAGGATTAAATGACATAAGATCACTCGTATTAAAATCAGCATTAAAAAAGAAAACTCATCAAGATAAACCCATTGGGTCTCATTCTGCAGGTAAGGCAGGACTCTGTCTCAGATAACAGGTGCCATGGTTTTAAAAGATAGATCAAAATGCCTTTTTGGATATGTTCACACTACAAAAACTATTAACACTGTTGGGTCCATTAGAAGCTAAATGAAGCTGCTTCCCCATGCCATGCCACTGTCAGGCAGGATGCATGCTCTGGGCAGATTTCATGTGTTTTTGTCACTGGGTTGGCAGAGCTGTCAAATGCCAGCTTTGAAAGATGAGGCTATCTACAGATGCTTGCATAACAAAGTTAAGCAGAGAACCAAAAAAAAAAAACCTATCCCTTGGCCATTCATTTTGTGTTAGATAGCTTCTGTTTGTGCTTTCACGTGCACTCTCCACCCTCCTCCAACTGTCCTGGACCCAGAGAAATGGATCTGTGCATCTCCATCAGGGCTTCCTTGCCCTCTGGTTTCTGGTTAAACTCAGTTTATGGGGACTGTCAGCAGAGATTGGGAGATGACAGTGAGTGAACTAGGGGTAATTAAACCTTTTTTAAAGTTTTACATGGCTCACTTGAGTAAATGCATAGCAACCCATAGCTGAAGTGACTGGCCTAAGCCCAGCCTGGTGCCACAATGCTGAGGGGATTACCTCGGCACACCTGAAACCCATTAGTGACACACGAGCCTACTGGGAAGCACTGCCCTAGTACACCTAGGACTGTCTGTGTTCACCAGATGTTCTCAGTAAACTTCCCATAGATGTTCATAAATTTTTGATTAGTAGTGAAAACTCATGATTTGTTGTATAATTCTTATTTGGTTATAACTGAATTATTCCCAGCCCTTTACTATAGTATATAAAAAATTACTTCCAATAACTGCATAGAAATGATATGTCTTGCTTAATGCAAAACTCAACTAAAAAAGTAAATATGATTACACATGTAAAGAGCTGCTTAAGTCAAGCAATAACTTGAACTGTGTTCACTATTTATGGGTACTATATCCTTAAAAATGAAATTAAAAACATTATGCAGTACTCACCGGATCCCTTCTCACGAGCTCTCCATTGGGCACCACTTCAACCAGGTGGATGATGATAATAATAGAATTCAGAATATAAGTCAGAAACATGTGCTTATGCAGAGTTACCCTTTGGCAGCCAAGGTTCCTAGAAGAAAAAGTAATAAAAAACATTAACCAGTGCCAAAATGTTGAAGTATCTGAGGGGGGAGAAATCTTTTTGGTTAATATTTCCTTTAGCAATAGATGAGAAAACATACAGAAATAAGTGAGGCTGGTCCCATTTTTAAGACTCATTATTACTTTTCTGCCTGATTTTTAGAAACAGTTTTCCAGTCACAGTAGCTCATAGGTTTCAGTCCTCAGGGAGATTTCATACAGCTGAAAGAGTGAGTGATAAAATCACTTTTAATGATAACAAATGTCATGAAATTAATTAAGAGAAGGACGCTTACAAGAGAAACCATTTAGGGTTTAGAGTGTGCTTTAGATAAAAAGTCGACTACTCATTGATATAACCAGGCAGAAATTGTGTGGTAAATGGGACAACAGAGCATAAAGTCAGAACCAAGGCTGCCTGTGACAAAGGATTGAATCCATGTCCTTGATCCATCACACAGACAGACTTATTAAGTGTCCTGACATCCTTCCTTTTTGCCATTTCTTCTAACATCTTTTGATGTCTCATATTCCAACTGGAATCAACTCTGTGCTTCCTCCTTTACACATCCTCCTGATGGTGGAGCTCAGGCACAGGCAAAGAATTTTAAATAGGCTCAAATTTGATCTCATTATGAGGCATATTGTGGTTTGGATCTGACAACACCTATCAAAGGGCTACTGCTTGTTGGATAGCCATTTCCCACCTTTTGGGTGCTAAGTGCTTTGCTGGATTTTTTGTGCCTTTGTCCTCCACTTCATAAACTTGTACATACGTATTTCTGTGAATGTTCCTATGAATAAACATTAGTTTGAATATCCTATTTCACTTTTTGATGCAAATGAAGAAAGCCTGTAGGATGGCTATAACGAAATTGGACTGATTATCCTAGATGAATAAAAATCTTATATTTACCATATTTGATCCAGTCCAAAAATGTTCAGCATAATGCGTCAGTTACTGATGCTAAAAATTGAGCATAGTAACTATCCCTAAAAAACTTCATGGAATAAAGTTAGATCCTAGGAATTTTTAAAAGAAAATTCTGGGTAAAGATGAATAAGAGAATGGTCTGGGTTTACTAATAATGTTTTTCCTAGATTTCCAAATCAAAGGATAATTCATTTTTAATTATTTGTATTAAAAAGTAAATTTAAGTAATGAGGACATCTATCAGAGCATAGTTTGATTATTGTAGCTACATTTTTCAGCTTTTCAGGAAGCACAAACATTAGTAAATTGTTAATATAGGATATTTTAATGTTCCCAACTTGCTGAGCTGGGGTAGAATACAGAACTTTACATTCAGGAGGAAGCCTGTGGTCAAGATGAGGTTTAGAGAAGAACTTTCACACATGAACACACTGTCAAAGGCTAGTTTATTTTGCAGGAGAAAAGTGTTAAGTGAAGCAAACCTGATTGGTTTTATAATAGTGCTATAAAAGTAGGTTGCAAATTTAAGGCTTTCAAAAGAAAATAAATTGTTTCTATGAAACATCATACCCAATATGGAAATGTATAGCTTCCATATTGCAAGTTCAACTATGCCCTGCCATTTCCCATACAGTCATAATAGCATTTTATATTTTCTCACTGGAAGGCAGCTATCTGTGGTCTGATTATTGAATTCAGCCTGGCTTAAACCAATGATGGTTGACATTATCCAGAACTAAGGCATGTGGGTGAATGCATCATACAGTGCTGCTATTCTCATGTCTGGTTTTCTTTTGATCGGGTAGAGTTCAATACTCTGCTGATGTACAACATTAACTTAAAGGACTGGTTAATGTTAACGTTCTGTGTAAACTAGAGCCACCCTCAGGAAAACGTACTTCCTCCACCTTCCGCCTACTCTCAGGCCCTTGTGTGCCTGCTTTGTTTTTTTCTTTTTATCATCTCCTGACATATCACATGTTTGTTGATTGCCTGATATTTTTCCTCCTTTTCTCTCACTAGAATAAAAGTGCTAAAGCAATTTGTTTTGTGTACCTAGAACAGTGTCTAACACATTGTAGGTCTTACTACTCATTTTTTTAAATAAAAATTTTTCTGTAAGAGCAATTTTCCTCTTTCAGCTGTGACCACTAAGCAGTTTTCTGGTACATCAGAGAATTCCATTAAAGGGTAGATGATCTCATATCTTATACTTTGTATCATACTGAACATTTGCCAAATTCTTAATATAGGTGTTAACGATATTATCCTAATAGCTAAAACCTATATATGGTATTGTATTATGTACATAATGAGAAAATGATAATTTAAAGCTGGATTAACTGGTAGGCTCCAAAGGAAGAATATGACTAATATATAATGCCAGCTTCTTATTCTTGAAGGTTGCAATATAATTTCTGCTTATTAAGTTTAAAAATTTTTATTATACTGACTTGATGACATTTACACTGAGCTTTTTGAAGTGAGTTAAAGGTACTTTAAGTTGATTAAAATTCATTCAATAATCCAAAACATATTACTGTGTACTCACTAGAATTCAGACCTTCTGGCATATGTTAGGGGTACATGGATGAACAAAACAGATAACTTCTGCCTTCAGGGACCTTATAATCTATAAAATTGTTTATTCATTATGATAACAGTTCTGAAGGAGACGTATAGGGTGCTAAAGAGGATTAACTAAGCTTAAGATAAGTAATTATGTGTTTAATTGTTCTCAATGCAAATATCTTGTTGCTCGAATGAACATGAGAGAAGCTGACAACATTTTCCTGTGAAGTCTGAAATGTCTTGGGTAGAAACAGCACAAACCTGATGTTAGCTATACTTCCTTCCTCTTGATAAAAAATAGGTATTTAGATGGACAGGACATTACTTACTCTTTGAGTGACAGGCAACCATCAGTACTATACATTCTCTAATAGTGGGAAGATAAGACAACATAATCTACTCCTGTCTTGGCCCAATCAAGGTGTCACTCAGATGTGAAGAAAAGATAATGATCTACTTGAGTATGATTCTCAAGATGTCATATTCTAAGGTTAAAGTGAAATGTCATTTTCATGGTTTTAGTTTACCTGGTGCAAATCTTTCACACTAAAATAATTGTTCCAAATTACTGGTACTGGATGTATGAATGTGTGTGGTCTTGGGGAGCCTTTAGTTGCTTGAGAAAGCATTTAATATTTGCCTTCGGTTTTGCAGATCACATAAACCAGTTTGATATCCTAGGACAAGCAAGAGCAGTATTCACTCCTTATAAGACAATGTAATTATAGTCATATTCAAAGGAAACAAGGAAAGTAGCAAATAAGGAAACAAGTAAAAGTTACTATGAATTTATTGGTGCATGGAAAGTATGCATTTGGAATAATTGTTGTGACTAGTACAAGAAAAGTCATTATCTTCCAGTGTTACTCGACGTTTTCCTTTACCTAGATATCATATTTTGGTCACCATGGACAAGAGAAGTGAGGGGAGGAGAAGGAATGTGAAATAGATTGCATTAAAACTCCTAGAAAAACCTGAAAACACAATACATTATACACCTTTTCCATCTGACAAGAGACTTTTTACCTTTGGATTTAGCACACAATTTTTATCTTTAAGGAATTCCCTTTCATTCATAATTCTTGCTTCCTTTCCTATTACTACTGTTCTATTAGTGAACAGCGTGCCAAAATAGGACCAAAAGTTATTTGGTGTCCTGTCATGTCAAGGGTGGGTTGGGAGAAAGGAGGGCTATCGTTGGTGTTACTGATTTAATGGTTTCTCTGGAGGAATAGAAAGGTGGCCCGAGACGTATAATAGTGGATCTTATACAAGATAAAGAGTTATCTATCCATCCACTGCAGATGTGACCAAATATAACAGGGAGTACTGAGTGAGTAGTGGAGGAATCGGTATTCCTTCTGGAGGTCCCAGTGGAAACCTCCCTTGTTTGTTAATATGGCCAAAGTAATGTAATGTAACGTAAACAAGGTGATGCAGTGAAGAAACCCCGTCTTCCAACATCTCTCTACTGACTTTCTGGCAAAGGTAATTGATGTTTGAAATATTTAACAATCAGTAAGTCATGGGCATCAAGCAGTCAAGATAGATGTTAATGCATTATTGTGCTTTCTAGAGAGTAAACTGTGAGATGTCCCAGTATTTAGACTTATTCCACTGAAATGTCAATTATTAAATTGTAAGTGGAACTGATGGGGTAAGTGAATGCTTTGCAAACTTGCTTAACATGGTCAGGAAACAAACACAATTAAATGTCCACTTGTGTGATTTTCTCAAGCCAGTGTTCCCTATCCGCACCTTTAACTCTCTTGTGGACATTTACTACTGGCATCTAGCAGCGAGGAGAACTGCTGAATTGATTTGATGTTTCTATCTAATCCCTCTCCATAGTATTGCTCCTATTTCCCCCAGCAAGGTCCCAAACCAAACACCATCCTAAAGAGGCTGTCTTCATCCCTAAGCCAGTGGACCACAAGTAACCTTACATCATCCTGAACATTATTTTAACTCTGCCACTTTTGTACAGTTAGGATCTTCAGTATTGCCTCTTCTGTGATTTAAATTACTGACAAAAATGTTTTTCGCTCTCTTGAAGAGGGCCTAGCAGCTCAATTTTCTTCTTTAAAATAACAAAGACTTTATATGTACTTTTCTCCATGTATTTTCTGATAGCACAAGCAACATGATTCTTATTTATTTCAGGGTCCCAGAGCCTTGCCTGTTGCCTACACTGGCATGCTCAGAATAAAACCACAGTATGATTAGAGGCATGCCTTGATCTCATTCTGAGTAATATCCCAGGATTTTTAGCAGCAAAGTATCGGCAGGTCCACAGCCTGTCGTATATTCAGTAACTTTGAATTCCCCTGTAGGCCTTCTTAGCCCCATGCTTGGAGGAGGACGCTTGCAGGGTTATTCCTTTTTATAGACCCTTTAAGGCACATTTTATGATTTTAGAGTGAGATTTCAATTGGATGGTTATGAATGGGGCACTAGGTGTCAGAAGTGGAGCTAGGTATGACTTCACATTTTGGTTTCATGGCAGTTTTATGAAATTGATTGGGTTTTTCAAAATAACTCAACCCTGAGTATGTAGAATTAAGCAAAGGAGTGCTGATTATTGTTTTGCTCAGATTTCACACTGATGATGCCATATAATTGCATAAATCATAAAACCTTATGTTGTAATGTACAGTAAAGACCATAAGGCTGAGGTTGAGTGTTTGAAAACAGTGTGGGGAGAACGTTGCTAAAAAAGATAAATTTCAGTGATAGATCAGAATTACCTTTTATTTTTCATAATTGCTTTAAATATATCTGAAATGCAAATGTAATGGGAAAAATGTGAAGAATCAGAAACATATTTTATTTTTAAGAAAACAGATGCCTTTGATATTTTTAGTTTGGGTAAGTATAACATCAGATTAAGAACAAGTATAAAAATCAGATATGACTTTTTCTGGATTTGAAAGTTTAGCATGTTAGCATGTGTTTTTCACATCTTTTTTTTTTCCTTCTTTTTTTCTCTTTTGTTTTTTCACATCTTATTTGTTCCTTGTGTGTGCTCTAGAGAGCCAGCTATTTCAGTTTATATCTTCCCATTACTAAATTCAGATTATAAACCAGTAAGACTTGTTTTTCCTCCCAAAATTTGTTCAGTAGGTTTTTGGGATTGAGAGGTAGTAAGACAAAATCAGGTGCTTCCTAGACAATCTGCACCCATATCTTTCCAAGGGTCTGTCTGACCAGATTAATTTTGTTTCAGGGCTTACTGGAGTTGAGAAATATTTTATGTTGCCCTTGTGCTGCACTTTTAAACACCCATTTTCAGTGGCTTAATATAGAAATGGTTGTCAAAACATTCTTTTTTTTTTTCCTTCCTGATTTGGCTCTCATACCCCGTCACTTATTTAGGTGACTGGAGAAATAAAGAACTAAGAAATTCCCCTTGACATTTTTTTTATCTTTAAAGGCCTGAATACATTTTTTAGTTACACCATTACAAAAGTGGGGGCTTTTTCTTTCAATTTCCTTAAGGTTATGTTAGCATTTTTTAAATAATAGACTTTCAGTGATAGACTTTTTAATCAAAGTTGTATGGGAGCCATGATGTACTTATTTATTCACCATGGTCAGATGCCATTGAAAAATGAACAGACATTTCAAGATTAATCATGCAATATGATTACTCTGCTGTACTGACCACTGTAATTGAAAATACTCTTTTATTTTAATTCTAGTAATTAATCCCTTGTGTCTTGTTGCTTTGTTTATGTCATTTTCCTTTTAAACCATGTATGGAAGGAGTTAATTCTCTGTTTATTTAAGTTGTCATTTGCTACTGATTTAACAAAAAATTGCTATTTAGTCATGTTGCTAGGTCAATCTATGAAATTTTAAGTACATAAGATATAGACATTTTATATATATATATATATATATATATATAATTATAATATAAGATATAGGCAAAGATTTAAAAAGGATAAAAAATAATAATAGCTGTGTTAAGGGTGAGTGTACAGGTGATTCTCTCCTTGGTTTAATTTTCTTTTTTTTCTAAAGGCTTATATTACATTTAATAGTATTAATTTCGAAAACATTTCAAACTTCCATGAAGAATAGTGACGTGTTCGATGTAGGTTCAATTTTCTTTAGTATTATCATGATAATATTTTAATTAAAATTCCATTATTCTATTTATGAGTCACTGTGTATTTAATTACATAGCACATCTTTAAAATGTAAAGGATTATTTGCCGTCTGGGCCTATGAAGGAGCTTTTCTTAATAATTTGTTTAATACCACCATAACAATAAAACTATTAGTGGAAGGAGACCCCCATGGCACTACAGAAGTTAGCAGAATTGTTATGAGAATGTAATGTAGTGCCTCCTGCCTTTGATTTGAAGAAATTACATTACATTTAGGACATGTTTTTAGAAAGAAATTTAACATATATTACTATCTCATATATATTATGAAGTCACTCCTGAACATACAGAACCAATGTTTTAAACTCTCCACTATTGTGAAATCAGCATCTGTATCAACTCAATCATTTTGCCATAGATGATGCAATCAAGTGCACAGACTCAGCCTTAGAATAGAAACCATCATTGAAATTTTATTCCTCAGAGTATCTTAAAAGATACTTGCAGTGAACAGTGCTAGGTTTGCAAAGGCAATAAATTGGCACTTGACATTCACCTTGACCTTGGCTGGATGAGTCAAGGCCAGAAGGGAGATTTACCTTCCTTCTCTGGGCAAACACTATCAGAGCCTCACAACCCCACTTCTTTCCTGGCTAAATCCACTCATGATACAGCTCATTATGAGGCAGGTGCACTTGAACTTGGAGCCATGGCCTCCATATTTTAGAGTGGGGGTAAGAGAAGGAGGATGATCTTCTTCTCAATACTTCACGGAAACTTAGCCATGTTAACACAGTGTACTTATGGGCTCACAGGACTATTTCATTCTGTGGAGGAGGAATACTACCTTTTAAAATTATGTGAATCTATCCTATTTTCCTCAAAGGGTTAGAAGCATATTTTAATTAATATAATTTTTCTTGCTACTTCATGACTCCCATGTCTGTTATGATTTGCAGAACCCTTACCCTGCAAAACTTTTGCAGCTTTTTCTATGTATTTCAGTACCTTAAAAAAGAAAATAAAAAGCAGGTGTTATAAGGGTACTTACTTGTAATACATGAAAATCCCCAGCGAAACCGCTAAGGTGAGAATCGAAATAGAGTGACCCACAATAGCCAAGTAGTACAGAACGTATGCATTCTGGAATAACAACAAACAAACAAAAAGTTACAAAAACAAATAGGAGAATAAATGAGTATAAAAGAAAGAAAATCATTTCTATTTTTAAATATCAGTGTAAATCAACAATGGTTTTCCTCCTTCAAAAAAAAAACCCTGCTAAAATTATGACAAATATTTCAGGGAATTAAATTGTGTTGAATTATAATTAATTGGATTAACAGATAGAATATTATAAGATTAAGAATATGCATGATGTAGTGAGGAGAACATAAGACTGAATTCATCAGAGCTGTTCTTTACTCAGAGTATTATCACTAAGTCTTTTTAAAAATATTTTATTGGGGAATTGGGGGAGGGGGACCAGCCAAGTTGTTGTTCTTCAGTCTTCGTTGTGGAGGGCACCAGTCGCCATCTGGTTGCCCTTCGGCAGCTCATGGCCTCTAAGCTCAAGGTGCTGTGTTCAATCTTAGTTGCTGGTGGGCGTAACCACCATCCCATGCGGGAGTAGAACCAGCAGTCTTGTTGTTAAGAGCACATGCTCGATCCACTGAGCCATCTGGGCGGCAGCTCAGCTCAAGGTGCCAAGTTCAGTCTTAGTTGCGGGTGGGCGTAGCCACCATCAAACAGGCAATCTTGTTGTTAACATCAGCTAAGCCATCCTGCCACCTATTTGCAGCTCAGCAACAGCTCAGCTAGGGCGCAGCATCACTGGACCATGTGGGAATCGAACCAGCGGCCCTGTTGCTCAGCGCTTGTGCTCTTAAGCCAACTCTTAACCAACTGAGCCACTCAGCTGGCCCCATCACTAAGTCTTTGTTTCTCTCCCACAAATCAGTCACTTCACCTCTCTAGACCCAGTAGTCCCCACCTGTAAAATAATTTGATTGGACTAGATAATTTTTAAAGCAATTATATGCTTCTTATAAAAAATACTGTTAGATACTGGGATACAGAAATATTGGATGTAAAAGGATAGGAAAAGATGACCCAGGTAAACAGTAACAATAAGAAAACAAGTAATATCATACAGGTCCAGATGTTAAGTCAGAAAACTATAACAATTTAAAATTTCTATGTACCTAATAGTATAAACTCAAACCATATAAATCATAAAGCAAAAAGTGATAATTCCTGGTAATCAATAGAACATGCAGACAAATAAAGTCAAGCTATAGAAGGTTTGAACATGATTAACAAATTTTACCAATTTATACATAATAAACTCTGTACCCAACATCTGCAGAATACCTATTCTTTTTAAATGCTCGCTAAATATTCAAATTATATTTATCCAAATTGACATATACTAGTCGGTAAAGCAAATCAAGCATATTTCAAATAATTGAAATCTTAAAGAGCATCTTCACTGATCACAATAGTGTAGAAATCCTTAATAAAAAGATAACTTAAAAAACACTCTCATATTGTGAGAATTGAGCAATATATTTCTAAATGACCATTGGATCAAGGTAGAACTCACAATGACATACCAAAAATTTTTAGATAGAGATAAAGCTGTATAGAGGGAAGTTTAAAGACTAAAAGGCATATATGACAAATGGAGAAGGTTGAAAATCAATTATCTAAATTTCTATCTAAAGGAGTTAAGACAAATAGGAAAATTAAACTCAAAGAATGAAAAAAAGGGAAATGGTAATAATAAAGAGAACTTGAACATACAATTGAGTGGATCAACAAAGACAAAACTGAGTTCATAAAAAAATTAATTTCAACCCTCCCTGGAAAGACTGATCAAGGCAAAAAAGACCCAAGAGAAATGAAAATATATGTCCACACAAATGTTTATAGCAGCATTTTTCATAATAACCAAACAGTGGAAACAACTCCAGTGTCTATCAATGGGTGAGTGTGGTTTATCCATAGAATCGAATACTGTTCAGCCATAAAAAGGAATGAAATAGAGATACAAGCTGTAACATAAATGATCCTTAATAACATAATGCTAAGTGAAATAAGCCAGTCACAAAAGATAACCTATTATATAATCCCATTAATATGAAATGTCCAGCATTGACAAATCTATAGATACAAAGTAGATTAATGGAAAATAATGTTAAATCTAAATCACTTACTTATTTTATCCTCACAGTTTTATGTGTTCCAATGTTAGCTTTTATATTTGTGATGACTATGGGAGGGATATTTGGGGGGCAGGTGGGCCTTAGGCACTCCTTGGATAGTACGTAGATGATTTTTTCTCTATTTATTGATGGGTACCATCCCCCAAACGTATAACTTGTTTTTAGAGTTGGTTACCCTTTATTCTATGTTTTGGGGAAAAGAAAGAAACTGCAATAGTCATTGGATGGATGGAAAAAAAACCCCAGAGGCTCAAAGAGGACCATTGACTTGAAATGAGGACAACAGTCTCTTGACTTCTCCTCTTAAGTTCCTTCCATAGTTTAGTGGGTCCTGGCATGAATGCAAATATAGTGTAGATAAGTTGGATGATTTCTATGAAGTGCTTTGAATTCCTGGGAGAAATGTGGTATTTCTGTATAAATCATTATCCTTGAACATTTTGATTCTTGTTAGGGTCCTTGGGAAGGTTCTGAGGTTAAAATGTAAATTCTGCTAAAAGGCTATGAAAGCATGCAGAGTCCTTTGGTAATTTGCCTTATTGCTAGACAGAAATATTGCCTTTCTAAGGCCTTAGAATTTCAAATGAACTGGTCAACTTCTGAATTGTACCTGTTGCACCAATGACCAAACATTTACACATTGTTTGCCATTTTCATTGTTGCTACTACCCTCCTAACAGTGCTTTTTATCCTTGCAGTAATGATAATAAAGTTGGAATAGTTGGTTTATATCTAGAGCTGATAAAGACTTCTAAATAGCTTATAGGTCCCTTCTTAGGAGGTATTTAGGAATCTTTGCAAGAAAACACCCAGTTCCAGTCTTTTCTCCCAGGAATTCATTTTCTGGCGATTTTTCTAACTTCACTGCCAGACAAAAGACTAGGAGTGGCATTTCTAAAAGTTCTTCCTTTTAAATAGTTTAACATTTGAAATTCCTTTGCCATTTAAAATACTGTTTTTAATTTGGATATATATCCATGTCCTTATCCTCTGTCAGTATTTTATTTTTCTTCCTGCATATTTTGTTTCTAAGAAAACTTCATATAACTTAATTCATCTCCCTTCAGTTACCTCTACAATACTTTAAAAATATTTATTTTTCTGAAATAGAGTTGTCTAAATGTGTAAGATTTAACCTACAGCTCATAATTTAGCTACTATTCTTGTGTCATTCTTAAGACTGAGAAGTGGTTGGGTTGTTTTATTTGTTCGTTTGTTTGTTTGTTTGTTTGTTTTTTGATAAATTCTAGGTTGGTTTCTTCAAAACAACGTTTGCCTGCATATAGATGGAAGATTTGTGCAAAGAATTTCAATCATTATATTAGGTGCCTGGGGGGAGCATTTATCCTGAAAATAGTTTATTTTCTTCTCAGATATGGCCAGAGTGTGTGAGAATGTCAAATATGGCAGCACTGAGAATTATTTATTTGGATCTGCACTCTTTATAACAATTCAGTTAACAGAATTATAATTTTTTTCTGTAAAATCATAATCGGCACTCATTAAGGAAATTCCATGTTCAGTGACATGTCATTTCAATCAGCCCTTATTAAGGAAGTACCTCTCCATTAGGATTTAGACGTGCACCTGAGTTTCAGGGGTAACTAAGCCATTTGTGAAGCGGTAACTGGCTTTGGTGCCTTCAGCTTGTACCTATGATAAGGTGTCCCTCTAGCAACTGGTCTCTAAGTTATCTGTTTATCTTGGTTGTTTTGGGTTGTTGTTTGTTTTGTTTTTAATAAAAGGAAAATTTTCTATACTCCTATGGCTTCTGGTATGCTTTTAGCTTCCAACCTTGCAATCAGTTAGCATACAGACCTATCTTTGAAGGAAACAATAGATTTTTTGTTGTACCCACCAGGGTTGCTCAGAGATGCCCCATGTGGCTTTTAAATAATGACCAACTGTGTCTCCCAGTTCTGTGGGAAGAGGAGGTGGCCTGGTCATGGGCTTTGTGATCTTTTCAGATTTCTGATGCATCGACTTAAATGTTTCTAAGCAGAGATACTAAACATATTTAATAGCCACTAAGGCACAAGTACTAACAAATCAGAATGGATTTCTACTGAAAATAACCTAAACAGCCACACCTTTATCAACAAGCTGATGAGAAGCTCCCTTATAAGGGTTCCTTTAAGGCCTGATGGTAAAGCTATCATGAACATCTTCGGGCAGGGACGGGGGCAACCGTTGGCTTGTGACTTATGAAAAAATTTGTCGTTTTGGAACTCTTCCATGCGAAGAGAGATCTTAAAGAGGCCCTGAAAATGCTGCCTAATATCTGACATTGTAGGGAATCCCATCATCGGTTTCATGGGCCCTATTCCCCTTGATATAAATGGCCTGATTCTATATGCTCATGAAACTCTGATTGACACTGAGTGCCAACCAAGAAGTACAATGTCGTTTTCTCTAAAGCCACTTCCAAGAATCCCAAGGACTTAGAGGCCATTATGTGATATCCTTCTATAATAGAGGTTTGCTCCTTGGTAGCAGGTACTTTACAGTTATGCATACATTTCTATGTACCAATAATGGCATTCTCACCAAATATTGAAATTTGACATAGAACCTACCTTCAGTTTATCAGGAGTGAAAGCGTTACACATGCTGTAGTTAGACCAGGTCTTATTGCTCTCAGGATGTCTGTACCAAGCCCCGTTTTCATCACAGTATTTTGTAACCTTTTCTGTTAATGAAACATAACAGATATTGCATTATTATTTCAAAATATCAAGATGGAAAAAGAACAAATTAAGGCTTAAAAACAATTCCAAAGTGTTAATCACTTTATAGAACTTAAATGTGAATATCAGTCAACAGAGACTACAATGAATCTACTAGCTTATGCAGGTGTTTTAATTATACAAGGTGTTTTAATATGCGTTGTCTCATTTTATCTTCAGCAAAGCTGTGAAAAGAAGACATTGCTGTCTTCATTTACAACAGGATACAGACAGTGAGCGATGTTGTGGGATTTGAAGTCAGCGGATAGGGGGTGAGCTAGGATTTAATCCCACACCGGTCAGATTCCAAAGTGCTACCTATACTCTACCTCATATTTTTTAACATTAAACTTCTGATTTTAGATAGAACTATGTGACTAAAAGAGCGAGACAATGCTTTTCTTCATTTATACACAATATTTCTTTATTAGTTTGGTTGCACGAAACTTCAGTTTTTGTGGGTCACAAGGTCAAGTACTGGCAATTTCATATCGTTCAATTCAATAGAACGAAGAAGTCCAAAACTAAGGGATAGACATGTCAAGAGATGATTTTTATGTCTCTCAAAAAGATTTCATTTAAATGGCCTCTCTTTGTCTCACAGAGAATATATTAGGGATTCATTGATTTAGCTGTCACTGTTTTAAAATCATCTCTTAGGTGATGGTGAAATTGGCTGGTTCAGCTGGATTGGCATATTAAAGGTCTCTGCATTTGCTATGGGCCAGGCACTGTGCTAACAGGCATTTTGCAGAATTATCTTCTTAAATTTTAATAATGACCATTTAAGGTGGGTTTTGGCCGTCCCATTGGACATATGAGGAAACTGAGGCTCAGAGAAATTAAGTAAATTCCCTGCCATAGCTATCAAGTAGTGAGGCCAGGGATCATAGCTTTGATTCGAAAGCTATGGCAAGGCTAGTAAGCTCTGCATTTAACCTTACGGTCCTGTGGCCAAGTTACTTCTAAACACTTTATCCCAGTGACCCAAAGAAGCAAAAATAATTTTGTTTGACTACAAGATAGCATTTAAATTCTAACCCAACTGGCTATACAATTGGAAGAAAAAATATATCGAATTAAATAAAATGGAAATAACAAACAAGTAAACATTAAAATGGATGTGCTTGCCAAATTTAATTTGAATTATTCAAACTTTCTCTAGTTTTCTGATGTACCTCTGCAATGTGTTTATTGCCTCAGAGATGATATAACAATCATGAATTGGTATAACATGCAAAGAGATTTTACCAGTGTATTTGAAACCCATGCCAAGTTTTGATTTTTAATAATTTCTTAGGGAAAATATGTTTGGAAAGCATTTTGCTTCATTGGCTTAGGCAAGGACCTGTCACACCTATGGATAACCCTTTTATATATGGCTTTTTTTTTTCTTAGCATAGGGATGTGGAAGTCAGAATCATATACTAATGTTTGGAGGACACGGACATTGCTTAAGCGTGAAGGAAACAATCCATGTTAAAAAAATGATTTGGCTGAAATATCACTGAGATCTGATTTTATTGTCAGAAAGTTGGTTTTGCTTTATTAAGCTTCTCTCAAACATTGTCTTAGGGATAGATTAATTTCTCTGCTCTAATCTGGATTCCAGAAACTTTCTTGCCTAGATTTACCGTCTGATGGCTGTTTTCGATCTTAACTAATGTCCTCATGTTCAGTTTATGGGTGATAACCTCTTGTCATTCATTGTCAGTGAATGAGAAAAACCAGATAGGCTGGTTGACCCTGAAATGCGGTAGAAATTCGAAAAAAAATGGAAAGTCATGGTTGATTTTCCATAGTCTGTTAAGCACAAAACAAACACTGATTCCTCTTTTCAAAACGCGATTCCTAGTCCAGATCAGAGAATTCAAAGAAAATCCTCCTTTGTCGGGACCCTGGTATTCCCTTCCACCAATTGGATGGTCTCTCTTCCATGGATACACGAAGGACACTGAAGGAAGAAGGTGGATGAGTGCTGTGAGGTGTGGAGGGGTGACTGTGCTCTGTTACATCATATCTTTGTAGAAGAGATATCAGCTTATGGTGGAACGACCTGCTTGCCTGGGGCCTTGTTCCCACAGCCAGCCAGTTTCAACATCTAGAGCCCCTTAAACACCCTCTGCAGGCTCAGGCTCACTCTACTCTCAGGAACAAATTTCATAGGGACTTACATAGTGTGTCTATGCATATAGCTGGACCCAACTTAACTTTCAGTTTCTGGGTCTCCTTTATAACTCCCTTTTCAGTGTCTTAATCCCAAATACATTTCAATGGGATCTATTTTCTATCTAGTTCCTTGGGACAGAGCTTTTCTGGCCCTGAGACCCACAGTTTCAGGAGCCAAGTGGCTACTAGCTTTCACTCCTCTGGGACCCACCTTCCGCTATCTCATCTGATACTAGGCCCTGCCTCCTGCAGGCACAGCTACTTAGCACACTGGTTGAACTTTCCTGGCACTGGTCACTTTCTTAATTGTTTAACACTTTTTCACCTTGGCTGCGCATTAGTCACAAGCAGAGCTTTTAAAACTCCGGATGCCCTGCCTTGTACTCCAAACTAGTTAGATCACAATGTTTGAGGTGGGACTAGGCATCGGGATTTTTAAAGTTTCCCAGCTTCTTAGCCAAGTTGAGAATCACTCATTTACTATTAGCACCTCCCCAGTCCCATTCTCCACTCCCATTGGTCCAGTCTCTAGATTGAGGCTGTTAGTCGACCTCATATGCCTCCTCATTCCTCCGCATTGCTCCTGACCACTAACCACGGAGCACCTTGGATTCCAGACCTTTTATTTATGTGGGTATCAGACGGTTCTAAGAAATACAACTTCAGCCCTCTAGCTTCTCACTTCACTTTGTACCTGGTATTCTGAGACATTTATCCTGCCCAAGCATCTAGCTCAACTTCCAATCACACCAGTGTGACTAGCTTGAGGCCTGAAGGAAAAAACATGCCATCCCCGAAAGTTCTAAAAGTATTCAATCTGCACAAATTTATATGGAGATTTAGCAATGCTGTGTCTCAAATGCTTTTTCAAGACTGTTGCATTGACTTATACAGAGAGGGTTAGGTAAGAGCTTAGGAGGCTTGGATTCACTTGTGGATTTGTGTCAAATATTGTGTGAATATAAAATGAGACACAGTCGTCCCCCTTATCCACAGGGCATATGTTCCAAGAACCCCAGTGGATGCCTGAAACCCCAATAATACTATACCCTACACACATTATATTTTTTCCTATGTAAATTGTTGGTTTTTACTCAAAACATAATAGAATTTATGATGAGTGTGCACAACTGAGCAGCAATGTGACTTAAAACATAAGGATAGCCTGTTGTATGTGTGCGACTGGGTACTATTTCCTTTATGGAAATGCCTCAGCACATACTAAAATGTGTAGAGTATGATTAGGTAGGTATATTTTAGATCTGATTTTCTTTCCAGGAGCATGAAAACTCTAGAAGCTTCATAGCAAAATGTAAAATAAAAATAAACATATTACCTATCGGATCAAAGTCGGGAAAATAATCGGGGCAGTGCTGTTGGGTCACTACTCCAGCCGGTGTGTCATCCCAGCACAGCCATCCATCCCAGGTGCGGTTGCAAAATGGACCTGGACATTTAGAAAGACATGAACATTGTCAAACACTGCAGAACCCTCAGCAGGATTGAACAGTGCAGCGACAGTTACTCTGGGGCTCTTTGGATATTGAAGTATTAAAAACAACAGTAGCAATAGCAGCAGCAACAAAACAAAGACATTAGCTTTACTGACTATGGATGGAATTTACACTTTTGTAAGGTTTTCTGCATTTGTTCCTCATAGACACACGTCTTCTGCATGAAATCTTTTCTCCAAAATCTTTTGTTTAAAATCTCTCCAGAAATGCTTGCTGTGAGAGAACTCTTGTGAAGGTATATGCAATATAACCCTTGGGTAAAAGGCTTACCTTGAAAAAAAAAACCAAAACTATGCAGCTTTGAAGCATATGTTATTGGGTTGTCGGGAAAGTGACACATTTTTGCAACGAAAAACAGAAAAAATGCATCATGACTTTTCCGACAACCCAGTATATCCTACTAACCACTAACCTTCAAAGGGGTTGCCTTGGGTGGTTTTAGCCTTAATCCCAGGGTGATGCAGTTGTTCAGAATCCTACTGAAGTTGCATTTGCAGCCAGTTGGATCACATATGTAAACAGTCTTAGTACTTTAGAATAACACTTTATTAATGGCTAAAATAATGCTCAGTGTGATCACTTTATGTATTCATCAACGATGGCTCCAAGTGGTTTCTCACTGCTTTCAAAAATTAAACCTACCCTAAAACATGAAGATTTGTCTCTATAAAGAGATATAATAAAGTTTTAAATAACGATCAATAGCAAAAAGTTCAACCTCCTAAGATAACTAAGACTAAAGTGAAGGTGACTGCGCTCACTTAATCTCTGGAAATACCAGTTTTCTCTTTCTATCATTTCATTTGCTTAGAGAAATGGTTTCTTTAGGGAGGTAAGTTGCATATAATGCCTCTTCAGGTTCTTAAAAAACACTGGAACTACTGCAGACAGGAAGATTAACATGCATCTATCTTCTGATTGACTTAGTTTTTTGTTTAAAGAAAAATGCTAAAAATGAGAACTACAGATTAAAACTATTTGAAGGCAAACTATGTATAGTAATATTTATAGTATATTTAACTAATTTTCCCCTCTACCAAGAGTATTGTCTTAGAATACACAAGGGAATACAAGATCTTGTTGGGTCTCATAGAATGATTTAGGGGACAGGGGAGAGAATGAAAATAGATGTAGCAATGCTTGGCCATCGTACCCTCCCTTTTGTTTCCTCTGGGCACTTTATAGCTAACAGAATATGCTTGGCCCCAAGCATATTTGAGCAATCACATAAAACATTATAGAGAAGGTGATAGATAAACAATGTCTGCCTCAGAGATATCTTTTTCTATTCCTCTAGGGATTGGAGGTAGAAAAGGAGAAGGAATAGTATGAGTTGCCAACCAATTGACAGCTAAGGGAAGATAGTGCCTAATTAACCCAAACATGACAAGGTTTTGACAGGTTCCACTGGAGGCAAATTCTCTGCCCGCCATTTTCCAATTTCCTTCCTGTCATTTTCCAATTCCTGTCCCTCACTTAGTTCTGCATTGTTCCTGCTTGCCATGTGTGAATACTGAGTTCTTGCAGTAATTTTGTCATAAGTGCAGATGTTAGCCAGAAAGTCTTTGGATGAACTTGAGCAAAGAAATTATGCATGTCTGCTGTATGAAAACCACTGTTAAAACTGCTGGCCTGTTAAATTAAAATTAGTCAACACATATTTACTCATGGAAGAAAATAAACCTTCAATGATGTCTGAAACACACGTTTACATACATCCTTCTTTTTACCTTCTCCTTGGTATGGGGGTAACTGTTGCATTCGGTTATAGCATTTGAACTGTGCATCCATCATTTTCCTTCGTCCTACGATGTACAGAAATGGCTCAGACTCTAGTCCTGGAGGGTAGGTGTCATTTGCAGAGGTAGGAAGAACTGGGGTTGGGTGCTGTATTAAAAACAAAAATCAGTTACTTATAGAGAGTAAAGATGGATATATACGTAAATAAATAAAATAATAAAAAGTTTGAAAACATTTATTTTTCTTTCTATAAACAACAATTATGCATTGTCTCCATGTAGAATATTCTCGCTTTATAACTAATAAGTGTTCATATTTCATCTGCAAAATCTACCTACAAATTTCATATTTGTACTTATTCCATTCACTATTGAAAATATATAGCACCCATCAAACTCATGCACCTCTTTATCATATGATTTTTAATTTTATTATCATTGTAAAGTTTAGATGTAAATAAAGCAAATAACCTGATTTCCAAAAAATACTAATATTAAATCAACTTTGCCTTCTTTGGAATGCTTAAGAATCATGACTCATGTTATTAAAAATAGATATATTATTGCACTAAGTAAACTTTTTTTTTGGATTTCTTCAGTTGATTTTTATTTGTGCTGAGACTGTACACAATGCCAAAAATTTACCCCATTTATTCCATAGAACAAACACATCTGTTCTTCTGAGATATTCTGCCTTGGATAATTAGCTTTAATCTCCTATACATGACCTATACAGGGTAATTCATTTCCATTGCTGAAAATCAATGCAAATCTTGAATATTTCTCTTAGATCTTTTGCATTTTCAGTACAGGCTGTCATTAGTTTTGTCAGTCTTAGTTGATTCTCATAACTATCATAGGTCCTGTTTATCAAAGTTGGTGTGTGTGTGTGTGTGTGTGTGTGTGTGTGAATAATTTGACTAAAGATCATGTAAAGATCATGGTGTCCTCACAATAAATGATATTAATGATTGGTTCAGTTTATGCATCTATTTTAGATTTTCTGTGGCTGTAATCTTAGAATTTTTAGTTGATATGAGAATGATCATTTGATGTATTGTTTATTTCTGGGTCATTTTCTCACTATCTTCAAATCAAATTAGAAGATGGACTATATCACATATAAATCTTTTCTGTCACTTATATTAGATATTTTAGACACCAGGGACTATTTTGCTTAAGCTTGGCAGTCTTTCCGGAAGTAACGTTCTGAATTTGATCTTTAAATGGACTGGCCAACCAATTAAGAAATGTTCCTGCACTAGTTGGAAATTCGTGGAAGACATGAGGAGGCAGTATGTGTAAACGTATCAAGTGAAAACACTATACTTGTATTTTCAATTACAGCATTATTTGGCTTAACACAGTTTTAACATCAGTAATAGTGGAAATAGGACCATATGAAAGGGGAGGTAGAGTTCATGCAGATGACAGTAGTGTCAATCTTATCTTTCTTGCCATATTGAAACAATCTCCAGTGTACTTGGTGTGGAGCTGGTTCAGTGGAGATTGTTTCAACACTGAAGGAATGAGGAAGTGGAACCTTGTTGTTACGTGAGCCATAATAATCTCAGTCTGCTCCTGGTCTGGTTCATGTTTCAGCATTGATAATGGAATTTTTTCAGGGGTAGCTGAATATTTCAGTGACTTTGTTTTGAAAATAACATATGCATGGAGGCATTCTGTTATGTATGTATGTATAACATGTATTAGATATACTTGCAGACACATATATAATTATATATATAGATATGTATAAGTATGTATAATGATTTATATGCAGAAGGTGCCAAAAATGTATTTTAAGAAAGGAATACTCTACTAAAATGGTAATACCCAATATATAGCGATAACAAAAGATGAATATAAGTCACGTTTGACTCCTGCAATTACAAGAGGTGTTCAAAGTGGTTACCATCAGCATCCAGACATTTCTGATTATGGTGAACTACTGCTTGAGCAATGTTGACCAAAGTGTCCACTTGTATACATTTTTTGGCACCCCCATATAATTACTTATATATAAATTATTATATGTAATTTCAATCATGGAATTACTACTGCTGAAAAATAACACATATATAAATTTCATAACGTTTATTGAACATATTAAACTTTTTGTTGATAATTTTATACAACTAAAAATTGCTAGTGAGGTGGTATAATTTTCAGCAATAAAGAAGCAAATTTGAAGCAGTAGTGATAAGATAAAACTACCAAGCAATGTAAAAGATTTAAAAATATTCTACTTATCATAATGTTATGTATGTATGTATGTATATGTATACATATATATGTGTGTATGTACATACACACAAATGTATTTGGGGGATGTAAATAAATATATGATTTTATGCTCACATGAAGATAGAAATGAGACATTAAGGGCATATAGCTTTTCTGAATGAAGATCAGTGTTCAATGTTTTGCATATAAGCCATCTCACATGAATCTTCCAAAACAAAAGCAAAACCAATCTCTTAATTGATGCCTTATGTAGCAGTTTAGCTGCCATATATGTGATGTCACTCCTAAAGGCTCAAGTAAATGGCACCACACATATGACCACCAAGCTGTCACCTATAGCTGTAGTCCACAGCCAAAACATGGCTGGTTCTTTAAGTTAATAAATATTTTGAGGCACTGTTCTAGGGTCTAGGGATTCAGCAGTGAACAACACTTGCAAGGTCCCTGCCCTCAAGGAGCTTACAGTCTAGGAAGTTTCATCCATGCTAATAATCATGGAGTCCAGGGGAAAGCAGTCTGATTTGAATGGTTATGTGCTCCAGCAATTCACACTTTGATGTAAGATAATTGGCCTACTTTTGTGTTATGGCTGGGTTCTAGATGTACAGAGACAGGATCATTACAGAACTGTTCTGTAGAACTTGGAGAAATGGTCCATCTCTGCCAGGGTTCAAACCTATTAAATGTGGAACCCATGTGACTGTGCTGAAGGGAGAAATTCCTCTTGATTGCCACAGACAGAACTGCTCTAAAAGAAATATGAATCCAGAATCCACAAATATAACCAAGAGGATTTCCATGTCACCATCTTTAATCATGCTAATGTATATGTTAGAATTATTTGTAGGTTTCAGTTACTTATACTTTTCAAAATAGCAAAGGATAAAATAGAACTTGTAATGTGTTAACCCTGGTTCTTCCACGTAGGATCATACTCCTAGTTGAGTCCTAGGTACTTTCTACTTAAGCAGTAGATAAAGAACAAAACTGCTGCATATATGATAAATTCAAAGCAAGTAGGGAAAGACAGCTAAGTAAACAACAACAAAATGCTTCCCAGATGAACCTAGTTTTTCTGTTTTCATCATTGTTGTTGCCATTGTTATTATCACAGCAGTTTTTGAGTTCTTGCTATGTGCTAAGCACAGTTTTAAGCCTATTGTTTTACCAAAGATAAGGAAGAGGAAGTGAGTGGGTAGTTTTGATGAATGTAGATGAGCCTGTGACTACACATTAATGAAAAATGGAAATCCTAAAACCCCAGTCAAGCTTTGTTTAAGTGAGTATAACAGTATCACATACTAAGTGATCTTTACTGCCAGCCATGATTCATTGGCCAATGTAGTTCTGATGTAGAGAGCATAAGGATCAAGATAACTCCAAATGTACTTATGTAAAATTTACTCATCTCCCTTTCACATGATATTAAAATGATATGATGGTGAGTTAACAAAGTTGACAGAAAAAAATAGCCATTGATAGGATTTTCTAAGACATTTATAGCTCTGACTACTTGCTAAACCATTTAGAAATAAAACAATATAAAATTACATGAAATGGACATGATTTAAAAAACTAGAGAGTTATGGAATGAAATATGTTGAGACTTCAAATTCTTAGTCAGTTTTTGATAAGAAGTACATTTGAAAATCAATAAACAGACTAAAAGATTTCAGATGTTTTAAAAAAACAGCAACCCCGAAACTAGGACTCAAATCCACATCAAATATGAAAAACATTTTATCCAAAATTATTAACCTTCAATGTTAATTTCCAAGACAATAAGGAGATGTCTTGAATTAACACTAAATTTTTGTAAAACAAAGTTCATATTTCTGGGTAAGCCTAACACTAATCTAAATCAGTGTAAGTTCAGAGGGGAGATTTGTTAACAAATTATTAAGAAAATGATAGTTTTGAGGGACTTAGTTTTGGCTTCTGGAGAACAATATCTACTCTTACTAATGTCCATTCACTCATACTCAAAACATTACTCCCTATCTCAGCATTCTGGATTAATGTAGTTTAGAATAATTTTGTTTTACTTACATTTAGAAAGATGAACAATACGAAGCACCAGCGAGTAAGGGTGAATTTCATTTTTGTTCTGGCATACGATCTTCTAATTCCTAGAGAAATTAAAAAAAAATAGCAAAGACATTTAAATGAATATAGCTTAGATGTTGACTATAGTCTTTTTCTTGTCCTTCTATTTGACTCGAAGAGAATCAATGTTCCAAAACATCCTAAATAAAATCCATGTAATAGAACAGTATGATTGGATCTGCATGTTCTGTGTCCCTTCCTTTAAGCCAGGAAAGATTATTGTCTAGTTGTTGTCTAATGTCCTCCTATTAAGATAATCTGGAGTCACCTTTACATATCAAGACCCACATAAAGAATTCAGAGAAATCAAGATCAATCACTGTGGACTTCAATTAACATGTGGCATCAATAGAACTGCTGAAAATTTCAATGGAAACATCCACAAGAAAGTCACCTCATTGGACACGAACAAGTAAAATCTGTGATTTGGAAAGGATTAATAGTCATGCCTTCCAGGTAATCAAAAGGCCAACTTATTTAAGGAATCTGATTGAGAGCCTTGAGTATTTTTCTTTCCTGCCATTTTTTCTTCAAGCTTCAAGTCATTATTAAGAATTAATTTCTTCCAGAACAAGGATTGAATATGTCACCTAGCAGGTCACCATTCTTACTCAAGACCACAATAGTCAGAAACAGACTGCTAAGTCACAAGTATCAGCAGTTTTTCATGACTCTGCATACAATTTTACATAAGAAAAGATAATAAAGGGGAAAAAATTTAAATATATATATATATATATATATATATATATATATTTCTTTTCATCAGTGGGATTTGTGTGAAAACTATATGTCAACTAGGGGTAAGTAGTTATCATGGCATCTAACACTATATTTATTGTATCACTTATGGATTATACATATTCTACTAGGTGTGAGTTAGTGTCTACACTGCATGCCTATATACTTGTCCTCAAAAAAGTAAGTTGTATTCAATTTACATATCAGTACAACAGGAAATTGAGAATGTAAAGTATAATTTTCAAGTGTCATCTTATGTGCTGATCATTATTTATTGTTTCTGATTTAGTTCAAGTCTAGTAAGTTAAAAACACATACATGTACTAATAGCTAATGCACTCACTATAAAGGATGCAAATATGGGTGAGCTGGATGAGATATGGTTTTCTTACAAGAAACAGGGCATAGTGGGGAGGGTAAGGAATAGATATGAAGAAGGCATGTGCTAAATACAGACTGGGTTAAAAAGTTCAATAAAATGGTACAAATATAGAGCTTCATAAAACAGAATTTCTGATTGGGAGGAACAGCAGAGATCTATGGCCAGAGAAAGCAAATTAAAACAAATATGGAGGCCGTAAAATTTAGGAGTAGCCAAAGAATAAGGAATATAGTAGTTTAATTTAGCTGGAGCTTAGAACTTCTCAGGAAGTAAAAATAAGGCTAGAAAAGGAGGGTTTTTGAGTGCCTAGGAAATTTATTAACCAAATTACCCTTTTAGCACATCATATGTTTGCCATGCATTTTCATCTATGTATACATACAACCTAACAACCTTACCTAAGCTAAACCCCTTTCAGATAAGAATTATGTTTTGGCTATCTATATACCTCTGGCACTTCACACAATCATTTACACATGATTATTATTATTGATATGATGGTGGCTTGTGGTCTAATAAATTAAATGAAGCATAGAGCGCTGTGATTTTTTTTACAACTGCATTCTTTCCACACCACAACAGTAACAAATTTGAATGTATTATTTTTCCTATCCAGTTCCTTGCGTTCCCGTGTCAGTCAGTGGCTTGCAAAATTATCCATGAATTGTCCAAATGAGAAACCAGGGATCAACCTTGATTCCACCAACTTCCTCATGCCCAACATGTAGTCTCCAGTACTCCACATCAAAGGGTTCTCCTAGCTGGCTTCACTCTTCTGCAGAGAAGCCTCTAAGACTTTGTCCAGTTGGGACAGAAGTAACCCATGACCACAGTTCAACCTCTAGCCCAGTTTAATTTTTCTTAATCACCTTCAGCAATTCTGTTTGGTTCTGATTTCAAAGATATCTTAAGGTAGAAGTTGCTTAGACCTGAATAAAATGGGTTAAATAAAGGAATAACCTGTGGTGTTATTAAATATATTTAACTATTGTTGCTACTGAAACATCCACTAATTAGAACAATTTCTGGTTGTTAGCCACAGGCCCTGTTATGCCAGTGCTAACTAGTTGTAAACCAGACCTGGGGTTCTCTACTTCCCTCCCCTCTCCTGTAATTTTTCTGCTCGTTGTGCATGTATCTCTGTATGTTTGTGATTGCAGAAATTGAGGTGGGCCTGAATGAGGCAGAGTACTAATTGTATTTATAAATTCACTCATCAGATATTTACTGAGTCAGGGGCACTCCTTGCTCTTATGAGTCGTTATGCACTGCAGAGAATGCCTGAGTGGGAGCTACCCTTTCGTGCCCCCTTATTTATACATTTCCCAATCCTCTCGCCATTTCTGGGGTTTCATACAAAGATATTTCACCTTGAATCTTACCTTACAAGAGACATGTTTGCCACTGTATTTCCTATTCCAGTAGCATATATTTACTAACAGAGAAAAGCACCATCAAATGTAATTTAATCATTGCAAAGCTTTTCTTTCTATTAAATTGTTTAAGGATCTATTTCTCTGAAATTTGAGTGCCTTGGAAAGTATTATTTTTGCAAAGCTGTGTAAGCAGTTCAAGAGGAGCTGTCAAATTAGCTGGGTTCTCCTGAAACACAGAGAGATTAAGCAGGATTAATGACATCAGAGATGGGCAGTTGAGCTGAATCCCTAAATGTCAGCCATGATGATGCAAATAGTTTTCATCACAGCAGTGGTTTCCCACTATAGCCCTAACAGCTAATATTCAAGGCTCTGGTCAAGGTGACTTTTATCTAAAGTACGGGTGTCGAAGTCAATTTCAATGTGACAATTTAATATTTCAGGCAAAGTGAACATTTTGCAATGTGTTTTGTTTAATAAGTCTTGGTCCTTGTGAGGAACTTGCATATAACTCACTTTGTCAGTTCATTTTTTAAAAATTAAATATATAAAGAAGTTGTGGTACATAAAACAAGACTTAGCCAATCATAGATTTAATTAGGAAGACTGAAGAAGAGATCTTAATGAATGTGATTTGGCTTCAGGATGTAGATGGGCTAATAATCGAGAAGCACACAGCCCAACTTCAGTGAATTCAGGATGTGTCTGGGGGCATCTAGGAAACCTCGATCCATAAGTAATCCCCATTCACATTTTCCTAACATCTGACCAAATTCCTATGACATCTTGCAATTCCCATGCCTTCTGTCGGTCTGCATTCAGTGATACTAGCTAAAGGAAGCCCTGCAGAAGAAGGGCTAGAATTTATGCAAAGCCAATGAAGTGATTTGGAATAATACAACTGACCAAGAGTTTATTCGATCAGGACCTGTGTGACTCTTCTCTGACCTTGACTGGCAATAGCTTCTCCAATACAGCTTGACTCTAACAAAGTCACTGCTTGCCTGCTGTTAATAGCATGGTTGATAAGGGGCAGGTCTTCCTGGGGCCTGAACTAACTGATGGTTAGGAAGGTGACAAGTCAGAGCTCTCTCTCAGTCTCTGTTCTCAGCTGTAGGAGTGAAAGGATACACCCTTAAACTTCAGGCTTTAGGTTCAGAAAAGTTCTGATATTCTTTGGAAAGTTCAGTGGAACCTAATGTTTATCAAGAAAACCTATGTATTATCTTAGTTAATTGATACCCAAGAATATATGGTAGTCTTTAGCTATATTAAAACAGACTTTTGTTTTTTTAAAGAGAACTGGTGGGGATGGAAGAAAGGAAACTAAAATGAACTGAATGCATACTAAGAGCCAGGTAATTCTATATGTTATCCACACATCAAATGCAAATAAGCATTACCCCCACTTTATACATAAGGAACCAAAGGTTCACAGATCTTAAGTGACTTTACTAAGTTCTCACTGTCAATGAGGGCAGTGGCAAAATTTAAAAACAGTTCTTCAAAACCATGTTCTTTCCAAATTTCACACTGATGCTAGAAACACACACATTTAAAATCAATATTAGGTAATGATAGCTTGAAAATAAGCTGCCAAGGATTTTTCTGTTTAATTGGTCTGTGCTTTAAAGCATATGTAAGATTTTGCTATGGAAAAAATATAGAAGTTTGGTAAATATTTAGTCTCTCTTAAATTGACAACATTCTATCTGAAGATTATTAAATATGTTAAAAGTATTTCATCCTCTCTCTTGGTTAACAGATATTTTACTTGGAATTTTTATAGGGTTCAAATTTGTATACATTTTAAAAATAATTAATTCCAAATAATGACGACAATTCCCTTAGAGTCTCTTCATGAACATCCCTTGTTGAAGGGTCACAGGCCAATGAGAGTTCTTAGCTCTCATTAGGAACCAACTCACTGTAACCACCAAAAACCTCCAGTAAGGACTAAATCTAAAAGACATTAGGAGATTTATGGCTACTAATGTTAAAAACATTAGACAAATGTAGTTTTCCAAGACCCACTGTATTGACTATATTGACTTTTATCTAAATCATGCACATAAATCATACTTTAGAATGATTATTGCTTAGAGACATGTAAATTATTTAGATTTTTTTCTAACTTTACTGAAGCAATTATTCACAAATGCTTCAGTGTTAGTTTCAAAGTTGCTCTCTGCAGAATTGTGCTAATTCTAGGGTTGGCCACCAAAGTGAATATTGGGCTATATACTACAACAAATACTTCTTGATTAACTGCTTCAGTGTTCCTATGATGTGTAATTTAAAAATGCAGCACTGTATTTTTCTTCTTTTATCAGAATCAAATGCAGAATCTATACAGTGAAAGAGAATTAAGATCAAAATCAAACTTCTCAATTCAAGGGTCTTTTTTTTGTTGTTGTTAGTTTCAGGTGTACAAAACAATGCAATAGTTATCCTTTCCACCCCTCACAAAGTGACAATCTCCCTTCCCTCATCTACTGCCCTCCCACTCCCGATATCATACATA